ATACCCGATTGCACCTCTCATGCATCCTGCACACAAGAATACGAGCGCGGCCACGAACATTTGGTTGAAAGCGATCTTCGAAGGATTCGCTTTTCTAATTTACGATACGTAAAGGAGAAATCTCGCCGCGAACACGACCACGACCACCTATGCATATAGAGATTTATGACGCGAGGTGGTACGCGCGATGATTAAAATTTACTTGTGGGAAAGCTTCGGGAAGATCAGTTGCTCAAGCTGCTGCAGAAAATTTAGATGTGAAAAGGGATGTTGTTTAAATCATGGATATTGTGATATATAGAGACTTTTGGTAAACGATCAACAAGTCGTTTCCTCAACGCGATATCGTGTATGTAATACCTATGAATGTTGCACACGTTGTAAGGTTTGATTGATTATTTTAATATTATGCACTTACATTCGTGCACACTTTCATTAGTATTATATATTATATGATATTAAGTCTCTGTCACTTCTTGCTTAATAATTGCAACACTGGTAAAAATCAATCTGTGGTTGATAATACATTAACGACTTGACGTTGTGTTATGTCTTTTTTACGAGCAAGTTATAGCTTGGATAGACCAATTACCAATGACTCAAGGAAAAAGGAATTTCGGTTCTTAAATAAATAATAATAGACAAGGTATGATATTTGAAAGCAAATTGTACAAATTTTTCTCTTGGCCTTAATTGCGGAAATTTCTAACGATTTTTGTAAAATTATTAGCTACGAGTGTAATAAATATTAGAATATATATACCAACTTATGAAACTGTTGCGTTCATTCGATCATAATAATATAATTAATTGTAGAAAAGGTTTTAAGTTTGAATGAAATGTGGAAGAATTTGATGTTAAATGTTTTATCAATTTTATTAATAAATATAAAAATACTAGTTAGATGCAAGCTTTTGTACAAAAAATCATTATTAACATCGCTTTGAAAGAAATAAAATATCCTCACTTCTCGAAAGAAGTCACAAATTATAACAGAGTATCTTATTATGAATGAATGACTTTACAACGAATTATGATAAATAATTTTTCTCGTTAAATCAAAATGTGTACAATGAACACCGAGGAATGGAATTTGCAAATTTATAAATCCACATCTGCGTGTAATGTATAAAATTTAAATATATGAAAATTTTAACTTAAGTTTATAATGAGAACGTACATACACTATTCTTAATAGTTTCATCAGGATGTCCGACTGTGTACATTTTGGTGCTCGAATAATATTGCAAGTTGCCTCTTTGTCTGTTTGTACTTTCCTTTCCCAAAGCAAACAGCATGACGGAGCAATATTTGCATAACGAAAAAAGAAAGTAATAGAAACGGAAGTCGATGGAACGAAGCGGTTGATTCGATGCCGCGAGGGTCAGAGGAGTCTGGATAGAAGTTTCTCGGATAAATTCGTTTCTTCGTCGGACAACGATCGACGGAGGCACGGACGCCGATGATTTATTTGTGAATCAACACACGCGTCTAGGAGAGAGGTTTGGTCGAAACGTACCGCGCGGGACAAAGACGAAGCGAGTCGGCTCTACCGGCTCATTAATTTTCTCTATTAATGACTGCAATCAGCGGCGTGAGTATGAGCACCTCGGTGAGCGCTTAATTCTGTTCTCGATTACGAATGATCCACAGGATGCGATGTTGACGTCTGGCGACCATCGAAAGCAGGCAATCATCGAGCCGACTTGAGATCTCTATATCAACCACGCAATCAACTCTCGATAAGCCGGCTTGCCCGAAGCATGGACGAGATATGAATAAGACCTCGCATGCAATGTATTTTTTCGGCCCGGATCGTGGGAATCCTCTTACCATTTTCGTGTCACATTTTGTCGTATCGATTTCGCACCGCAGCACTATTAATGAGAATTAAAATCAAAAAATATGGACAGTGTTGTCAGACCTGTTTCGAGAATTATTTATTATTGAATTAAACGTGATGATACGTAATCAATGAAGGAATATAATGATTAGAACAGCATTGATGGAAATTGAAAAAATTTATTATATATTTGATTATTTACATCTATTTAAAAATATTATAAAAAATTGATTAAAATATACTTTTTAACAACATAATTAGATATGAATTATATATGACATTTGTTACTATATGACATTTATTTTAGTGTCAGTATTGTAGTTTCAAAGTCTGAATGATTCCTGCAAACTCGATTTTATAAAAGCTTGGACATATCAAAGAAATATATAGAAATATACTTATATAGAAATTGAAACATTTTCCTACGAATATTATTTGGTATAGTTATGTGGTAAAGTTATGCTGTGTGGTATAAATTATTATTTGTATATCGTCTGTTTTCGAAATTTCGAGATCAAATTTTCTTAAATAATAGTTATTTCTTAAAACGAATTTAGTGACCTGAATACGAGGTCATTTATTATTGTAACTCGTTAAAAATGAATTATTACTTAAAGTTCAATAAAATAACGTACAGCTAGTTGATTTTGAGGACTCACAATTTCAAAGGGGAGATTCAATTTTCAAGATCATGATTGATCTGATCATAAAAAGAAATTGTTGGAAAAACTTCTCTTCGATGAACTTATACAATTTTCGAGAAAAAAAATATTTTTACTTTTACACTTGCTGCATGTAAAAATAAATATCTTTAGAAACAAACTCAAGATTATTAAACTGGATACTTCACTCTTTAAAAAGTTAATAGTTCTACAATTTATTTTCACAAAATTATAACAGTTTAAAGTATTAATAATTTTTTATCTTATGTATGAATATTTTCGTTTTTTTTTTAAAGAATTTTTCGTAAATTTGCAAGTTAACATTTCGCACGCATTTTGTGTTAACCCCATACGCGCGCGTATTGGGTTTAAATTAATTAGATTGCAGCGCCACTACACGGCGAAATACGCAACACACTTCCTACGATTCTCAAACGTAATCGATATTTCTCATGATCGATTTTTAGGGAACAAATATGGCTGAAAGAAGCACACCGCATCTGTGCAAAGGAGAATGTATTGTCCAGACAAATCATCCGGAAAGAAGTATTATCCAGAAATTCTCAGGTAAAAATTTAATCAATAACTGTTAGATTTGCGTTTGTGTTGTGTATTTTTAAGATAAAACATACGTTTTTAGTTCCAACTCAAGGTAATATTTAACCAAATAATTATTACATTTTCAACAATTAAAGAAACAATAGCATATAAACATTTAAACAGAACGTACTATGCTAAAGGTTATTCATAATTTTATATCAAAATTTAATTTAATTCTAACCAATAAAAATATTATAACCTTGCAATTGACTAACTCATTGTTTTATTTATATGTATATATAAACACGTATTTTATTATAAGTCTTTACATACACACTTCTATTATATTTTTCTAATTATTTGTTGATAATAATTTAACTTCAGAATGTTTAATAATTCTAATACAATTCAACAACAATGTATTAAGAATGTACGTATTTAATAGTTAAAATAATACTTTACTACGTAAACTTTACTACGTAATATAATGAAATTATTTAGTTCTCAAATAAAGTAAGGCATAGAAAGCCTTGAGACTCGAAGTTCGTAGTTCAAAACAACATAAAAAGAACGCTTACGTGTGTATGTAAGGCTCTTAATGTTGCACCTGTTTTTTCGGCACTGCAAGTAAACTTTCGACTAAACGTGTCGAAGCTTGTCGAAACTTGTCGAAGTCAACACAATGTTTATATTCGTCTTATACTGCCTGTTCGTTCAAGATCACCCCATCCCCTATTATTTTCACAGTTGCCAGACGAAACGTACTACGGAGTCAATCGGTTATCGAATCTCGTGACAACAACACGTACTACGCCGCATTAGGTACGTAAATTTTTCTAACCTATCTGTGGCGTCTCTTTGATGGTGTCGCTTCTCTGACACATTTTTACTTCCATTTATACCTCATTAATAATATCATTTAATTAATACGCGTGTGTTTAACGATTAATTGAGCATTACGTTAACGAAATCGTATAATACTTTGAAACTTTTCGCATCGATTTTACTTGTACGGTTACTGATAGCTTGTCTCGTGAATTCCTTCAGTAGAATTTGATGTCATTATCGTTTCATTTTTACACATTTGCTTTCATTTAATATATTTGTTCTAACTTTTGTTTTCTTTTTGTGCAGATTATTCCTTGATTGCAGAGATAGCATAGAACGCATAAATGGTACAACCATCGATGAACAATTTCATGAACTTTCATGAAAATTTGACAACATTCTATTTATTTTGGGTAACATTTGGTTCATATATATTTAAGATACAATTCACAATACGTAATTTAGTAATTATTTGAAATGCAAAGATGAAAATGGAAAAGATTATCTATATGATATCAAATGGATGTACATTCTTGTATGAAATTATCAAATTGAAAGTTTTCATACTTTACTGTACTATATGTGCTTTATTATACTTACTTTTTTTCAAACATTAACACGGAATTCAAACGGTATCTTAGTGGTATTGCTTATTAAATATATTTAGCTGTGAAATTTTGATCTGCACAAACATTTTCGAATATTTGTAACACATTACGTGATATATTAATGTACGTACTTCCTACTCTAATAACGAATATTCAGAATAAAATTTCAGAATACAATAATTGTCTGTCATTTACAATATTCAGTATTGAGAAATACTTTATAATTTACAATTAATATCTTTAATATACATATATTCAAGTTTCTTTATAATCATGTTTTACAAAAATAGCAGTATTTTCTGAATGAACGTATCCTTCCCTTCCCCCACTAATCAGTTTTAGTTTCAGAAAGTTTTTGTGACCGCGTGCAATGCGGTCGGTAGAGTTAGTGTTTATTGCGAAGTATTTTCATATTTTTCTCAGCAAAATGGCCCTTGTTAAATTAAATAATTCATTTAAATTATAATTCGCGAAATTAGAGTCAGTGAGTTCGCCGATGTTACTTAAATGCGCGTAGTCTTTTATTTTTCTTTTTCTATATTTTTTCTTATTGTTTCTTATTCATTTTCGGTATATTAGAGTCAGTGCTCAAGAGCCTCTTCAGGAGATCAAGATTGTAAGTAGTTTTATATGTCGTACTTCAATTTATTCAATTTTTGAAAATATAACAACAAAGTATAATGTTTGATATTTTGTTACAGATGCTTCACATCAGTATCAATTTTTTTGTATTTTCTGGGGAAAATCCAACGGTGGCTCTAAAGTCAAGAATGTAAGAATCTTTCATTATCCCCAACCTAACATTTTTCTTTTATATATAAATTCTAATGTTTAATGTTTTGTTACAGATCTTCTACAGTCTTCACTTCCCCTAATCCTTCAAGAATCGTATGATGCTTCAAAAGCTAAAAATGTAAGTACTTTGTTAGCACGTTGTATTTAAATTTTATTTTTTATAGTTTTCTTTCTACTGAAATCGAATGTAAAATTATAATTGTAAAATAAAAGCACTTAAAATTATTAGCCCCACTTTTTATCATTATTGAAATTTAAATTTTCACAAATAACATTGTATTTTTAAGAAATTTTTTTTGTTTTTTAAGAAATTTTTCACGGCGTTTATCATGGAATTCTCAGTGATATCTACTTGATGAGAGTCTTCACGATAACTTTCCCTGTTCTAGTGCAGCATCATGACAACATTCTTCGCATCTATTGCGTGAGTCGCATGCATTTATGTTCCTCCGATCACTCAATCATGTCNAATAAAAGCACTTAAAATTATTAGCCCCACTTTTTATCATTATTGAAATTTAAATTTTCACAAATAACATTGTATTTTTAACATTGTATAACATTAAATTTTTTTTGTTTTTTAAGAAATTTTTCACGGCGTTCATCATGGAATTCTCAGTAATATCCACTTGACGAGAGACTTCACGATAACTTTCCCTGTTCCAGTGCAGCATCATGACAACATTCTTCGCATCTATTGCGTGAGTCGCATGCATTTATGTTCCTCCGATCACTCAATCATGTCGTAGGACGAATGGTCCGAATCGGCACGGGTGACTGGTTGTATACGTAGAATTTTTGGTGAGCATAGTGACCGTGGGTATTTTTTATACCCATGAGTAGTAACAATTTTTTCATGTTTTTAGATTAGGATAGGGCTTCTTGCACATCGCGATTTTAATAAGTAGAATATATATATTTTTAATTACTTATATATATTTATAGTAATTATTTAAATCAAAATATCTTCAATATAAATGTTTGCAAAAGTAAAATATCCATATGAATGGATAAATTATAAATATTTATGAATAATTGTTATTAAAACGATTTCGTTTGAGCATATCATAGTAGAGAAGATGGATATCCTCCGACTTCGTTGCTATGAAAGATGCAGTTATTACTTATTGATATTGATGATATTGATGATATAGTTTGTTATAGTAATTAATAATTTTTAATTTCATTTGCTCTTTTATGATAGTATTAAATGATTTAATTAATTAAGTTTTATAATTCTGAACTTTAGTAGAATTTTGAAATATAACAGATTAGAATTTTTTGCGCAGAAGAATGTATGAAATTTTATGTGCAAGAAGATACTTCGCGACAGGCAGATTTTTGAATCAAAGCAACAAGTTTGAACACTGCTTTTGCATTTTCGGAAATGTGCTTTGATGAAGAAGTCGCCTGAGATTATTAATATTTTATTAATATTTAATTTAGAATCAATTGTTTAATTTTGATTCTTTGTATCAGTTGTTAGATTGCTCATAGCATCTTTTTTAATAAATTAATAAATTAATAAATTTATTAAGTCTTGTTTATTCTCTTTATTTTCTTGCAATTTCAATAATTTCTGAAAAAGCAGAGTCATTGGAATTTGAAACAGAATAATGCAATAGTCCGTTAGATATAAATTACATAAACTAATCATTTCTTTTAGTTCAGGATTTTCAGATTTAACCCCTTCCGTGTTCATTGTCAGGATCTCACTCACGTGCTCAGGTGCTACTTGGGTGGGTGAAAGACATTGGGCACGATGACCATAGTTTGTACTTTTATAAAAAATTTCTCAGCGACTGACACTATGTTAGCGTATCGTGCGCGACGTATTTTCCGCATGTGTGTGTGTGTGTGTGGTTAGGATGTGGAATTGCGTCGTTTCTATTGTTCCATTCATTATAAATATTTAAAATATTTGAAATATGAATTTATTATAATAATACTTATTAAATACACTATAATTGTATTATTAATTATACTATCAATTATATATGATACAATATAATAATTACAAGTTAACTTGCATTGGAATTTCTATAAAAATTACATACATTTTTTTCTCAATTATTAATATTTCACATATAACTGTAAGTATAAACGTGTTTTAATCACATTTTACGCAATGGTCGCTATCCATTGTCAGTCGATTTCAGGAAAATGGTACGTAAATTAGAGTGTGAAAGTTGTGTGCTAAGTTCGGGTGTCGGAGGCGTCCCGGGACGTTCTCTCTAGTTTAGGTTTCTGCACCCGGGTGGTATGTGTGAGAACCGTGGAGCGAGTGTGTTGGTGTGCCTGTTTTGCCATTTTTTAAATATAGGGGCCCTGGATAGGATAGGTAGCTTACTTTCTGGTATGAATGTGTTTAATTATAAGTAGGTAGGGCCGGGCAGGTTGGCACAGTCTTTGGTCGCGTGTCCCCCTTTCGCGTGTTCAACCTGTTTCAGGAAATCTAATTTGAAAAATCGACAGTGAAATTGGTACAAATGGAGCGTGCCACTTGTTTCTGGTTTTACTCTTCGATTTTTCGAATTTAGCATCGCGGTCGCGGTCGCGGATAGGTCGCCAGTAGGTCCCGAAACGAACGTTTATGTAGGTTCTGCTCGAGCACGCACATGCGAACGGACAACGATCACTACGATCGATGGTCGTCCATGTGTATTGGGGGTAGCTTTCGCGATTTATATTATTATTTCACCTTTGTAAGTTATTTTTTAGTTTGCGATTAGAAAGACTCGAGCTAGACGTAAGTTTCAGCGGGCATTGCGCTCGAACAAAGAAGAGGCTAAAAGCCGAAGAGGGCCGGCAAACTGCCACGAAGAGGGTCACAACAAATGGTTTCTCATCTTTTGGATCATTTGAATGATTTCAGAGCATGGGAAGTCATTCTCGTTACTACTTTGTCACTATGCTCTTTTAGTATTTGTAGTTGTACTTGTTTTTTTCTTCTCTTTCATGGTTCATCTTCATTATGGGCAAATCGCGATTTTTTTGTTAGTGTTGCGAGAGATCGATTACGGGTTGAATTGGAGTCTCACCAATGTTAATTAGTGTTGCGAGAAATTGATTACGGTTTAAATTAGAGCTTTCGAAGAAATGATAATCGTGTTTGCTTTAGAGTTGCGAATTGTGATACCGTGATTGTCTTTTGCAATTTTGATTACAATTTTTATAGTTGTTTAGTGTACATAATAAAATTTATCTTCCTTTCTATTGTTTTAAATTAAATTATAGTGTCATTGCTTTTAATTAATTTTAGAATATTTAAAGTAGCCTTTGTACAGTTTTGTATTGTTCATAATAATTTTCATTGAATTTAGTTAGAGTTAGTGTTGCGATATTATTTCATCGCGATTTTCAATTACTTTTACTCTTAATGTTGCGATATTGTTTCATCGCGATTTTCAATTACTTTTTTTCTTGTTAGTGTTGCGACAATGAATGATCGCGTTCCTTGAAATAGTGTTACGTTTGCAAAATGCCCAAATTCTTCCACTGGATTTGTGGAAGGCTGTTTCTGCTCCTGGATCACCTGATGCAGCATAGAAGCTGTACAAAGGTGATCATTCATCAGCAACCTCTAGCATGGTTGTAGTGAACGCGTTGCAATTAGTGTTGCGCATTTTTAAACATATGAGTGCATGAATTAATAGCGTTGCGTACTTATTTTCGGAAGTTTTAAATCTAACGAAGCACTCTTCGCATTTGATTTTGAAAATTTCTTATTTCACAATTAGTGTTAGTGAATTAGTGTTGCGGAACAAGATACGGTTTGCTACTCGGATTCGTGATGTAGATAATTATACAGTAGCCCTTCTGGTTATTGTATTGTTGAATAGGAAATACCTATTTTTTAGTGGCCCTTCTGGCTACTATATCGCGATTTTCTTTTCAATAGCCCTTCTGGCTATTGTTTTAGATTTTCTTTGCCAGTAGCTCTTCTGGTTACTGTGTTAGGTTTTCTTTTTCAGCACCCCTTACTGCCCCGTTTGTTACTGAAAATACTGCTAAAAAATATATATTTTTTTTTTATTAGCTTGTAACTTTGTTACGAGTTTTAGAATGTAGTCTCTCTCTAATCAGTTTCGTCAGTTCAGCAATAATCTTAACACTCTCTTGCTTCCTGTCGTGAGATTTCCTAGTGGGTTACGTGGCACAAGAGGGTGAAATACGTGCGTGTCGTGGAGGTAGGCCCTTTTTCCAAGAAGCACCCTCGGAGCAGTGCACCGGTCGTTTCCGAAACCAGACGCAAACAATCGCAGACATTTGCGACTCGTCTTCGATAAATTGCGAGCCGTGAAAACCAACGATGGTTTCTCTCGGGGTGGGAGAAAAGTTGCTGGGCCGAGAGGAGGCGAAATTTATCTTCATCCAAAACAACGGTCACCCCTTCGGGGTGAACTTTCGTGGGAAACACGGACAGCTGAAGGCAGGAAGGCAGGAAGGAAGGAAGGAAGAAAGGAAGGAAGGAAGAAGAAAAGACGAGTCCGATGCGAAGGACAAGCGCAACCCCAAAAATGTTCCCTGTACTTTTCCACCCCGTATAACAACCGAGATTATCCTCTCTGTTCCCTGTCCAGAATTTTAAAATACCACGTGCTTATTCTACCTTTAGCTACGTTTTCATTGAAGTATCAACAAAGAATTTTTCGTTGTCTGTTGTTGTTGTATATTCCGAAAATCTGCATGAACGTTTGCACTAACTTTTAGAAAAATATGGAATTTATTCTCGTTGGAGCAATAATCTCAGCTGATATTGAAGTCACATCAGCGATTCAAGCTTAATTCTTTGAGTGTTTAGCCTAGAATATTGCACAATCTTACAATCATTAATAGAACAATTGGTTCACATACCAGAGGTTGGACATCGAAAAATGAACATCGGTATAGCTGAATTGAGACGGAATACCCGAGGAGGAATCAACATCGAATAACGTCGAATGCCTCAAGGAACAACCTTCCAACATCTGTTCACAAAATTCCCTCGCTCTTGCACATCTGCCACGGTGACGTAATCTGACGTCCACCAGGTAACGGGTCCCTTTTTGGTGACGTCACAAGAAAAAGGGAGAGCAGCACCCGTCACCCAAAAACGAGCCGAGGATCGTGCGCGAGCAGAGACTACCATAGACGTCCGATGGACCAAAAGACGTCGGTCTTCCGTGAAACCGATTACCAGCGATCGAACGTTCGATTTCTTGCGATGCTGATCGAGCAGCGGTAAGGAGGATTTTTGCCGCTTTTAAATCGCGTGGTAAACGCCCGTTCGGGGGGCTGGCTGGTTGCACGCCGAGGGCAGCGGTAAGAACACCGCCAAGTGTTTGCACGTACGAACGTTCGTACGAAGCGGAATGTCGTTCGGCGAACAGACGATACGTCGAAGAAATCGTCCAGGGAGAAGAGGAATCGAACGATCGCCGAACGTGA